TGGTCTTCAGCTCCCAGACTACTACAGGATCATCTTCCTTTCTGCCATCCTCAAAAGCATGTTTCTTAACCTTGTCAACTTAACCATATGTGGACTTGAACTCACAGGATTCCTCAGCCAGCCATGCTACCTGAGGAATTCTGGGAATTGAAGTCCACACATCTTAAACCTGCCAAGGTTGAGAAACCCTGTTTAAATGAAAAGCAAAATGAGAAGTTCATATGTGGGATCAGAATTAGTGCTTGTCAAAGGTTGGATCATTATTACATAATCGGACAAATGCTTATTCAAGTTTTTGTTTAGTGTTGGAAAATCAATTAAACTGAATACAAGTCGGGATAATAGATTTTGTTTAATTCCTTTTTCATAGTTGGTGCTGTAGACCTCTCAAACAAAAATTCTTTTTTGTTTGAGGGGTCTACACTTTGTTTCACTTTTTTATATCATTTCTTAACTATGCATTTGATTCCATTGTGCATCTATTATGATACAGTTATTATGATGTTCTAAAATCTTTTTTCGACTTATTTATTCTTAGTTGGTAAGGGAAGCTGACATCTTTGATAGATTGTTTTCTGCTTTCATTGTAGCTAATGTATATAAAATTCATGAATGTAGCTAGTACCCAGTAAAGAAATCAGGGAATATACAATTAAAGAACTGTATCAGCTCTTAACGTTGTCTTATATTTTAATTGCTCAGCTTTGAAATGTCATACAGCATTCTCTTACATGGTGCCCTAAAATGTTTGGCATTTTAATCTGCATTATCTCTCCAGAGGGTGAACCAATACTTCTGTGGGACAACCAAGTTGAGAAAAGCTGCTTTAATAAAGTGTTGGCCTTTGGAAAGTAACACATTTTGTGCATAACAAGGGTCTTGATGGTATTTTGAATACCTGCACCATAGCTACCACTCAATGTTTTTCCTTTTTCCTGTTAGTGGGTTTTATTGCTTCCAAGCAACATAAAATATTCTGCACATTGGGTGCTTTTAAATGGATGAAGTATTAGCATTTGCTTATCTCTTCTAGTCTTTCCCAATATTCTGTGGGGAAATTAATTTTTAAATAGACTTTGTTATAATCTATACACATAATGTTCTTGAAAGATTAGAAACAAAAACACTGTGTTGCAGTGTTGAAGATAAAACTTCCCGAAGCCAATAAAAAAAATGATTGCTTTAGCATACATTAAGGACTCAGATTTTTAGACTAACAGGTTTCAAATTAAGTGTAAGTTCTTAATAAAACTTTGATTTTCTCAAAACGTAGGCTGCTGTTTTAACCTTAAGAGTTGTAGTACTTAGAATCCCACTCAGTGTGCTGAGTATTTTTATACACTTTAGTTGTGAAGTTGAGCAGGTTTGATTCTGGCCAATCCCTGGGAGAAAATCATAAAAGAGAATTCCCATGGGCATATGGAGAAAGAATATACAATAATGTTCCAAATAAAGAATTTCAGTGGACAATTCTAATTTAATTCTATTTTCTGAGGAAAAATCTACTATTTTCAACCATGAATGCCATGATTAGCTAATAAAAAACTCAGTGACAGTCAACTAGTTAATCCTGGCAAATCTATTTTATATATGACTGCATCAAGTCATGTCATTCTGCTGATGGAACAGCAATTACCAGCAAAACAAAGACACATTGTATACATTGATGCGTACCAGATATCTAAGGACATTCAACAACACCAGAGATCAACAGGATAAATAGCTTTCTGCTAAGCAGAAAGAAATGCTGATGCTATTGTAGATAAGTGCTGAGAGTCTATGAAATGAAGCGATGGCAACTCTCCTACTGGAAGCTGACGCCATGCTCTCTTTGAAAGTATTTTTACACTGATTAAGATTTCCGGGACACAAATGTGTCTTATGTCATATGGTCCCTCTTACTACAATAATACTGGAAATAGAATTTCACAATGTTCCGATTTTAACTTGCTGCTTATTGTAGGTTAGGAAGAACAAACTTCATGTAGCGAAGCATGGACTAGGATTGCTGGTTCAATAATTTCATCCAGATCATTCTGTTCTCCCTTACTCATGAGCCTATGGGTTATCTCTGTAGGGTTGCCAATCCCCCCCCCCCCCGTATAGACTTGCTCTTGATGTCATCAGGAGTCATGGCTGACTTAAGGGAAATGTTACTTTTATCTGTATATTAATAAAACATTAGCAAATATGCACATGTTTTTACAAGGCATAGAATAAGGGAGGCACAGCCAGGAAGAGAGTCCAAAGAAGGCAGGAGGAATATGTATGGATGGATCAAATGGAAAATAAATTGTCAACCCAAATAAATGAAACCTTTGATGTATTGTTGTTTCACTGATACGAATAGCTGCAGCAGCTATAGAACAGTAGCTTGGGGATTGTGAGTTTGCTAAAAAATGTTGCCAAAACTTCTGACAATGTTTGAAAGGGAATAGTTTGTTGTATAAAAGAGTTGTTATTATATGCAGTTAGAGGAAGACAATTACTTTTATAGAAAAGGATTCTGTAATTCAATGAGCCTTCATTGTGTAATTTCATTTGAAAGTAGGCACAATTATTAGTTTTTTTTGTGTGCAGAAAGATGAATATCTGGTAGTACATACATATACAAAATTTAAGTAGCTGACTGATGCAACACAAACAGCAATTACTCTTTGGTACTTTGATGAATAGTGAGAGACCTGTGACACAGATTGCATGTTGTTAATATGAAAAAGCCTGTATGTAGGAAGAACACATTCAGACAAATATAATTTGCAGGTCAAGTTCTTACTTTGCACAAAGTTTAAAAGCAATATATATTCTAGCTTCCAGTGTTCATGAACAAAGAATATAATAGGTGAAAACAAACCAGCTAAACTATTGGATAAAACTCATTTACTCAAAGTGTCTGTATAGCAGAAATCATTAAATGATTCTGCTTTATAGTAGCATTATTCTGTCTGGGTACTTTCCTAGACTCTTGCCTGTAACTAGCAGGCTTGTAAAACCTTGATGAACTTCAAAGTTGGTTTGCTATTAACAGTACACAAGTTTGCTGGCAAGTCAGACCTATGAATTATTTAATTTGATTAGGTTTGCAAATGCTTATGAGGTCTTTAGGCCACCATAAAATCTATGGTTCTAGAAACTCACCATGTACAGAGTATAAAGCAGCAGCATTAATAGATTTCAAACCAAGGTACCAGCTTTTCAGTAAATCAGGCTTTCTCATTCTGGCACTTGGCAAACCATTTGGATTCGCAGTCCTCCAAAACTCCCAACCAGGATTGCCAAAATATTTGCTGTGTATTATTTATGTGTTTATGCTTCTTTATAATTTTGATTTATAAGGCTGCCCCAACTCGAAACTGATTAGGAGGAGTGGGAATTAAAAACTCAAGATGTTTTTATGCTAAAAAAGCAAACAAAATGAACCCAAAGTAAACTCAAGTATCAGGAAACACATAACACAAAACAATTAATATGTAACAGATTGACCTATTGTGACCTGCTCCAGTGTTTGTGGGAAAAGAGGTTTTTACAGGCCTTCTGATGGCTGGCAGGTTTGATATAGTCTGAACTCTGGGGAAAGCTATTTTAAAGGGCAGGAGCCCTGATAGAATAAACTGTTTACCTCAACAGATGACATTGCTTAATTGTCAGGATATAAAGACACCCACTCTGTCAGATTTTACCGGCCTGGCAGAAATGTCAGAAGAAAAATCCTGACCCTCAGAATGTGAGGGTCTTTGCCATGAAGAGATATATAGGTGATCCCCTAGGACTTAGAACATATTGGTAACCAATGCAGTTTGTGTAACAGAGATGTTACATGAGTGCACCAAGATGCAAGCACAACTGCTTGCGCCACTTCATTTTGACCAGCCTTACTTCCAAATGGTCTTCAAGAACAGACCTAGGTACAGCGTACTGCACTAGTCCACACATGAAACAGGGCCTCTACTCAGAAGTCTGCAGATACAATCGGCATGGAGAAGAACGGACATTTTGCCATTCTTATCACCAATGTGTAGGCTGAGACTTGTGCTCTTAACAGTACTTGGTGGTGTCCACTTTGAGTTTTATGTCAACATCTCTTCAGGCACTTTGTTTCCCTCAAATTTCCTCAGGCATATAGACCAGGCATTTCTTTTTTATTAGTGACTGGAGAGAAGTTGCGCTGGGGCAATTTTATCAAATGCTCTGTCCATATTACATAGGTCAACCAAACATAAGGTGAACGGTCTACCAGACTGGGTAAGCTGGATCTTTCTGGGAAATGCTTCACTAGATATACAGGTTGAAGTTGTTGGTTCCTTAGGGGTATACAATCTGGGATGGATGCCAGTTGGACAGAGTCCATAGCAGATCTGCAGAATTAGTACACAGGAAAGTGTCACATTGATAAATTAAAAATCATTGGAGGCCACAAAGGAATACCTGATATATCTTGCAGCTAACAGAATTGCAGCATTGTTGGAGCTGGTGGTGGCAATGTGGCCTGGGAAGTTTTGTAGGTTCTTGACAGTGCATCTTTTGGGGGCAACAATGGTGAATTTATTAACTTTTAAAAAACATCTGTGGGCTGCGCAGGTCTGCTTGGAAAGCTACATATTGGCAGGGTTGGTCTAAAGTGATAAGCAGGGCAAAGTTTTGTGGAATCATCAGGAATTATTTTGAGTTTGTAGAATCTGAGGAAGTGGCTCATTTTGTCTAGTTGTGGACCAAACCATAGCTTTTATGGCATATTATGAACATTTCTGATAGAAAATATTTCTGGTAAGCTTATATTGTTGATTTATCTGACTGTGTTTCCTCTACCTGAATTGATGAAGGCTGCTGTAGAATTAGGTTAGCCTAATCCGTGTATTTGACAGTCTATATTGATGAGTAAAAGAACAGTTAAAAAATGGAGCTGTAGAAGATGTCACCTATACATTGCTTAAAATTCCGTTATGTTAAATTTTAGCTTGCAAAATAATTCTCATTGGCACATTCTGATTTATATCTTGCAGAATTGCTGGGTGTGTTTAAACTGATGTCCTCTGCTACTAAAAACTGCTTCAGCACCATGACAACCAGAGTAGCAGAAGTCGGGGAATTACCCTTGGAGTCTTTGGTGACTTGCAAAATGTGCTTATATGAATATTCACTGGATAAGATGACTGCTCTTCAGGACTGCAATTGCATCTTTTGTACCTCAGTAAGTATGGACAGCAATGTATCTATCGTTGAAAGAAAAGAATGAGCTAAAAAACATCTTTGTAACATTAACTAATAGATTAATGCAATAATTAAGAATTATATTTTCAATATTATATTCTAGAGTAGGGTAGACAACATAATATTCATGGTCATTTATGCACCAGGTTCTAAACATCTTATTTTATTTTTTTAGATACTTTTTTTCCCCAGATACTTTAATTTAAAAAAAAAAAGAGGAAGAAAACTAGCATCTGCAAAGCCCTGACCTTTCCCATCAGTAATAAATATACAGCTTGTATTCTTCTGATTGTTATAATGCTTTATTACATTGAACATTTTAGGCTCAGGGTTGTCTATTATACTTGAGTAGCAGCACTGCAGTGCCTCTATAACCGAGCATCCCTTATCCGTTGCTGACATTTTGTAGATGCGAGAGATTACACCTAAAATACAGCCATACAGATCATGTCCTTGTCTGCCAAGCTATGGGTCCTCTTTTTATTCCTACTAACCCAGCAAAATGATGGGTAAAAATCATGTAAAGGAGTGCAAAACTATCTGTCCCTCTATCTGTCACTAGGACAATTGTCTGAAAATAGAACAGGTCCAAATGTGGTGTGGCAGAAGAAATCAATGAAAAAAAAAAAGATTGACTTTGAAAATGGGCAAAATTTGGACTGAGGTGAAAAAAAGTATAGAAGTATAGAAAAAAAATCCTTATGGGATGGGCAGTGATGGAAGTGACTCAGAATGGTAGCTCCTGCTCCATTCTAAACCCTATTCTAAAGCCTATCCAACTCCCTCCTCATTCGTGCTTCTTAGTGTACATACTCGCACAAAAGCACACAGATGGAAGTGGAATAGAGAGACATAGATGAGGTGCAATGCATTGTTTTGTTACACATAAGAAAATACAGGGTTCCTATGGCAGGTGTTGACAAAAAAATTAGAAAGAGCTCCAGAAATTATACTCTTCATGCTTTCCTTAACTAATTTTGGAATTTAGTTCTTTAATTAAAATTCTGCAATAGTGATAGAGGTAAGGAATTAATAGTGTTCAGGTCTGTATTTTGTCAGATGTGAAAAAGATTTACCACTCAGCTAACATATCAATTGTAATAGTAAATATATAAGGAAATATAAGTGATTTTTAGAAACCTTTTTTTTTCTATCAGTTGTTAAGGATTTAAATGGAAGCTGCTAGAGTCCTTCTTGTGAGCTTGTGATGGGCTACTTTCTGCTTGTGAACTTGTGATGGGCCTTGTGATGGGCTACTTTCTGCTTGTGAACTGGTGATGGGCCTTGTGATGGGCTACTCCCTGCCTCCATGATCATTTATTTGATCCATCACTGCTTTATTTAATGTTTTTCTACTAGCTGTACGTATACAGAGCTTTTCATAACCTGTATTAGGTTGGTTTCCCATATGAAAATAAAAGTATCAACATAACCCCAGTGTTCCTAATGCTTCAAGTTTTTGGTTTAGGAACTTTCAGATCCAAAAACTTTTTCAATAAAGTAAAATCCATATTCCAATATTCCATCAAAGGACTCAAACAGATGAATGAAGAGTGCAGTTTAATGGAACTAGTAAACTGAAGATTCCTGACATATTTCTACAGACAGCCACAACTAAGAAGATACTCTGGTTATTGTCCAGAGATCGTGAGATATTAAGGTCTAGACGTGTCGCGACGTGTCTTGACTTTTTTTCCATTGCCGGCAATGGGATGGGCACGGTTTCGCCCTGATGCATCCGGCCCGCAGGCCAGCAGTTTGACACCCCTGGTCTAGACAATCCTAGACCAGAAAGAGCATCTCAATAGTTATTGATATACACCTGCCCATGTATGTATGTATGTATGTATGTATGTCATTTAAAAAATACTAAGTTTCAGTATTCACACAGATATAATAGGTTCCTTTTAAGTACGGGTCTTAATATCAGTAGCAATTTGTAACAAATATATTCCTGTTGCTCTCCAGGCCTATATTATCTATTTCTTATGCAGTAAAATATCTCAAAAAGCTATATGTGTATGGTTTTATATTTATTTTGCATGCATATGTATAAATATATATGTGCATGTGACTGGAACAGCACATACATCTGAATGAATACGTAAATAAAAAATAATTTGCGTGCTGAAGCTCCTAGTAATCTTATTTGCTAGGAATAGGAATGGGGGCATAGACTTCGTATTTCACAAAATGCTTGCTTACATGACCTCTTACAACATTTGTGTGAACTCTTAACAAGTTCATTGGGGTGAGTTTGATAATGTATGCTTTATTTTGAAACCTGAGTAGTATTTCAGCATTTTGTTCATGTAAATTAGAATTCAAGAGAAGATCTTGGGTGTTGTCTCAGTGTCTTTTAGTCTTAATAGCTGTTCTTACAACATCTAATCTTACAATTGAGTTGATAATATCTATAGATTGTTAATTATATTTTTGTAAGTTTCATTTCAAGAGAAGTATTTTCATTACAATCATAGAATGTAGAGGTTAGGATTACTTTTATTGTAACAGCTATGGCAGCAGAACTTTAGAAGTCTGAATAAGCATTTCCCTCCCCCATTTTATATTTCTGTGCACAAGGGAGGGGCCTATTTGAGATGTTTATTGAAACTAATTTTTTGGCCCAGGTTAAAGCCCCACTTAATATGATTATTGCCCTGGTAGTGCTTCATTTTCCTGTCCTATAAAATCATTCCATAGGTTCTCTATACCTAGTGATATATCAGACATTGACAACCACAAGACAGTGTAATAGTTGTAATAACTGGTGTATGATTTTCCTGGTATTCTTAAAAAAGAATCTGTCTGAACCAGTTGTGGACCTATTTTGTCTAATATACTGTAAGACAGAGATCTAGACCCTGTATTTGTTTGAGGCTGCACATATTAAACAATTTACCTGTGTAACACGTCCAATATATTAAACAACCCACACAAATAACTGTTAGGATACAGATAATCCTTGATTTATGACCACAACTGAGCCCAAAATTTCTGTTGCTAAGCGAAAATGAAGGAAAAGAAGAGTCAAATATGATCAGACACCATATGTTTAATAAACCATGTTTTGCTCTCCATATTAACAAGAGATATGTCTAATAACAAGGGCAATATAATGTACTGGGACTGGCAACACATTTTTCATATCCAAGAGATTTTCTATACTAAATTAGCTGTCTATAGAAGATCTAGTAATTTCAAGAGCCACCACTGATTTCTCAAAACTCTGCTATAATATTTGAAAAAGCAATTTGGGGCTCACAAGGACCCAATTTGTTTTTATTAAAATTCCATGATTCAGATGTAAGATAGGATCCTCTATTGAAACTAAATAGATGGTGATTTAGTACAAAATATACTTAACTGCTGAACTCACCGCCATCAGCCTATGGTGACATTCACCAATACAGATAGTTTTAAAAGAGTACAAAATAAACTCAAGCAATAGAGAACTTCCATAGTCATGAGTCTTGAAGTAGTGTACTACCTTCTGAATTACAGACAGCATATGGAGTATTATTATCGTCACATCTGACTTTGGATAGTTATCTAGCCGGCTTCTGTACATATTGATTTAATAGGCTTTTGGTCTGATTCAAAAGAACTGTTTTTAAGCAGGGATAAAGTTAGTTACTTGAAATTTCAGTGCTTTTTGTTTTGGGATGGCTTGAAGAAAAACACAAATTTACATTTGATTTGCTATAAATTAGCAATACTAACATTTTTAAAATGTTATATACAATGTGAAGTATTATACTATATCTCTGACTATAGAGAATTCTGCATTGGTATGAGAAGTTCATCCACACTAAGACTAGTTCTATTATAATGTTTTAAATTAGAACAATGGCTACAAATTTGTCTTTAATAAAAGTATTGTAAGTGACCTTTGCCACTTCCCCTCTCTTGTGGGAGAATGTGGCCTCCACAAAAGGTTAACAACATTATAAACCTACTTTATCTTGTATACTGTATAGTACAGTGAAGATTTGTATCCAGTTTCTGTTTTGAATATGTCTCTTGAAAACTGGCAGGTAAACTCATTTGTCGCTTCCTTTCTTTGTTTTAGGTTAAATTCTTTTGCAGAAGTAGATATATGCAGCAACATGTGGTTTCAGTTGTTTATCCTGTTTCTCAGTGCCCTATTCTTGAGACCTATGCAGAGAAGAAGAATACGAATTAAGGATGAATGGATTTTTTGTGGAATTTGGTTTTGTGCTTCTAGAAATGGTATTCTGAGAGATCTATTTCAGTTAGATGCACATCTCATTCTATTCCTATTTGATCCCTTTGAACCGAGCCCTGTCATTTAAAATGCTTGTATTCACTTTTCATTTAACAGCCAACCCTTTTTGAAACAGTACCTCAATTTCTGTATTGTCAGATAACTGACAGTTGATCTCAGAAAGCTAAGCAAGATCAGACTTGGTTAGCACCTGGATGGGAGAGCACCCAGAACTGTCAAGACTAGAGGTGAGACTGGGAAGCTGAAAAAAAATGTTGAAAAACGGCAATAGCAAACATTTATCTATTTTTCTTAAGAAAATAACTTGCTTGTATCCATGACATCAGAAGAAGCTGGGCTTGATTTGAAAGATACGTTATTTTTTTATTTGTGTTTTATTCCTAAAATTGTTGAAAAGAGCCAGGAAATATGCTACTCTGCTGAATAGCAGATCAAGTGTAATGGATTTTGTGCATCACACACTAATTACTGCTTAACATGCAGTACATGAGCCTGCTTTAAAAGGGGATTGATTATGGGAACCACACTGAGAACCATTTTAAAGTTGTATGTTGGCAACTCCCTTTATAGCAGTGGTTCTCAACCTGTGGGTCGGGACCCCATTTGGGGTCGAACGACCATTTCACGGGAGTCGCCAAACAACGCAGTCTGCCATTTTTTCCCCCTTTTCCTTAGCTGTGCTACTCCCTTTTATTCTATTGGCTTTTGAAAGCCATTAGAATAGACTCTCT